ATAACCCATGAGTTACAAGAGAAGATGCAGGTAAAAAACTATATTTGATGAGCCAGGCCTACATTGTTCTATAGATGTTTACTGATTACCTGCCAAGTGTACTGACTGGGAGGCAGGTGGGACACAGGGATGAACAGAGCAGGGACCCCCCCCCACCCCATAAGAGGAGCTCACACTCTCTCAGCAGAGAGACCAGCTCATGTGGCTATAACGCGAGGCAGGGGGTGATGGGGGACTTGAAAGAGCTGCAAACAAAGTGCAGGAATAGGAATTAGAGAAAAATCATTTCTAGACAGGGAATCGGAGAAGGCTTTAAGGGAAAGATGGCATTTAAATTTTCGAAGATCAGTCAGATTTTGATGGCTGAATAGAACGGGAAGTGACAGAGGCTATTAAGGCTGAGAGAGTGCAAGCACGAAAGTGCAGAGGTAAGAAGGCAAGAAGTTCAGGAAGCAGTGAGTAGTCTCATTTGGCTGGAAAAGAGAATTTAGAGGACAGTAAAAGAAGTGATTCCTATTTTTAAATAGTTTTTTCACATTATTTCTTCTCTGGGTCTTAGTGGGTCACCTTCGCTCTTACCTAATGCCCAGCCACGTGTTAACATAACAGATGTGCGTGTGTATACACACACAGGGACACACACACACACACACACACACACACACACTCACACGCAATCGGACCTTTTCAGTAGTTTGGATGGAAATATAGATACAGGGATTACATCATGCATCCCATAGCAACAAGTCTTTATAACACATTTCCCTTTCTCCAGAAGTCCCATGTGCCATTTCGTTTCACACTTCTGCAGTCCCCCCACCTAAACCCTCCTCCTCTTCCTCCTCCCATAGCCCAGCTGGCCACCGTCCCTAACCCATCAACTTGATTTTTTCTTCTGAATATCTCCTTTCTTTTTTATCATAAAGAGCCATCCGGTTCTCAGTTTCTCCAGTTTCCTCCCTCTCCCCCTCCCCACCCCACCTGCAGGAAAAAAGGCCTAGTAGCTTCAGAAAAAAAGGAACCAAAGGAAGATGAAAAGAAGAGAGGATGAAGGGATAGGAAAGGAAATGGAAAGGAAGGGAGGAAAGAAAAGAAAGGAAAAGAGAGATAAATAAAAGTAATTTCTTCCCTAGAAAGATGGGAGAGCAAGGATACAAGATCTTACACCTTAAATTTTTTCGGAACACTCACAAAATTTAATCTCCAGCTTTCAGACAATGCGGATGCATTGGAGGTCATCAGGGTCCTCCAAGTATCCAGCAGCACTCATTGATCTAATGACTTCAACACTGGCATCATGTTTTCATTTTTTTAAAATCCTCCACTAATTGTCTCTACCATCATTCTGGTTTGTTTAAGCTTGATTCCTGCCACTTCATTTGCAATGGCCTTTGCTGTCCATTACTTTCTACCATATACATCTCTCCTTGTTGCTTTTTCCCGTGGGTGGCATAGTCAGGCAGACCATGTTTTGAATATTCATGGATCAACCGATGCAATGAAAACATGGAACGTGTAAAACAGCTGTCAACAATGCTATAGAATTCTGTTTCTTGGATTAAGACCATAGGCTGCACCTGCAGATAAATGTTATTACATTCTTTTTTCCTTTGCGTGCACCTATTAAGCAAAGAGATATTGTAGTCATTGATTCCCACAAACTCTGTTAATAACCAACAGCATCAGGTGCGCGCAAGTAGAAGGTGGTTAAGCACAACCTGCTACTGCCAAGAACAGCCCCCTGGAGCCTCTCCTACCTAATTGTTTACTCTTACAAGTACGCAAGACAAGAAAGTCAGTGCAGAACTAATGTAAAACCCAGGGGGAAGAAAGTAATAGGAAACTCAACTACTTAAGCTTCCCGGATCTCTTGAGACAATCACTTCTAAACAATTACAGTACATTTTGTTAGCATCATCTCCTGCAAGCCAAGAAACAGAATAGTTTTTGATTAATAAGCAAAACAGAAAGCAGAAATGGTGAAATTAAAATAGCAAAGTTTGCATTATATTTGTTGATTAAATAGTGGTCTATACCTTTTTCTAAGATCAGCTTACTAAAGAACTCACACACCCATTTGGAAATATGGATTTTCCAAATTCAAAAAGAATGCTTTATATAATATCAAATTTTTTACAGCTTCAATGAGCCTTATCATTGGTTATCATCGTTTCAAAATATGCATCATCCAGCTTCTATGTCTAAAAAGATATTCATTGGCAGAACTGACTTAAGAAAATTAGAGACACCTAGGAAACTTGGGAATCACCAATTAGCAGATTATTGTCACTTTCGTAATGTGTGTGTGTGTGTGTGTGTGTTATCCTAAGAAAAGGGTTCCAAGATCTGAAGAAAACAGAATATGCATGGAAATTGTTAAGCAAAAATCACTTTATCCATGAATAAATACTTTCTGAATACAGAGTCTGGGTAATGTGCTAGAAAAAGCATCTGGCTGGAAGTCAGATGGAGGCAGGCTCTGTCACTGGCTGAGTGATCTTGATTGAGTAAATGAACATCTTCACTTCTGCAACATGGAGAAAGTCCTCCCTTTAGCACAGTGGAATTGAAAGGATTAGAAGGGTTGGCCTTTGAAAAATGCCTGTTCCCCTTTTTCCCTCTCTTGCCTATAGTTGACCAGTTAGCATCTTCCAAACATTTGCATTTTCTTGGTGAACAGTAAAAAACTAGTCTAGAGTGGGACTAGTTTCTGCATAATGTTGGAAGATGCTCAAAGAAGCACAGAAGCTTTTAATGTGTTTGTGTTTGCTTCCTTATTTGTTGGCTTGTTTGGTAGAGGGGCAAAAATTGGTGTGATTTTTAGTCCGCCAAAAGAAGACCCGAGAATCCTTTATCTTCCCTTCTCCTCAAACAATGCGAACTTAGGTCTAATATTCAATTATATTTAATCACTCAGAGAATGGGACAAAGTATGTGACAAATTTGAAGTTTTTCACTTTGGTTTTCAATCCTCCATTTAAGGCATGGACTGGCACCAGGAATATATAGTGTAGACAACTTAAATTCTCCAGAGGAATGAATGTTTTAGGTGAACACTGTAGAACTGAATTTTGTGAGTTCTTTTAGGTAAAATGTTAAAAAGCAAATAAGTATTTGATCATTGTCCCCATATATTTTTCATAGTTCTATTTCCCCATAGATACCATGAATAATTCCAAAGTATTAGATTTGGTAAGACATTCTCCATTTTTGAGCCACTCTATGAAGATCATAAAGATTCAATTATCCTAAATTCTTGACCCATTCCTTAGTGGGACATTTCAGCAAAACACTCATTAAACTAATGAAACTTCTGTAGGGAAAAGTCCTTCACTGATCCAACAGGTCACACTCAGTGGAGAGCAGGAGGCCTTTGTCTCAAAACCTGTTCCTACTTCAGGCTTAAATGTTTATACGTAAAATCCTCAATACATCCTTTTACATTTCCAATAATTAATTTTTTCTTTACCTGTTTTTGCCTGACTCTTAATAAGCTGAACACTTTAATTTTCTATTATTTTTAATTTCATTTAAATGGCCATAACATCAAATTGGTGCAACCTTACGAAAATCACTTAATCTCTCCTATTTCTCAGATTTTCTCATTATTTAGATTCCAAGCTGTGCCAATTATGCCCTAAATCTTTACATGGAGATATGGACTAATCAGGAATTCATCTGACCCTACAGGCTTTTTGGACCTACTCTATAGAATTACAAAAACCTTCAAAGACTTGGTGGATATATTATCTAAGTATCTGGAGACAACAGCTATGGCCTAATTAATTCTTCAATCACTGCAAAGTGCAGGCTACCAGCACATCATGAATAATATGGAGGGACCTCTCACTGCCCATTACACTGCCTCCTCACCATAACCAATTCCATGTGTCCTTCATTTCCTATTAGCCTCTGTTGCATACAACCCCCTTCTGTTCCAGTTGATACTGATATTTTGGTTGCAAGGAACAAAAAGTCAGTGTGCTTCATATTAGATGGAAATAAGGAAAAATGTAAACATCAGCCATATTGGAATCCAGAATTCAGACAACCAGTCATCATGACAGAACACAAGACATGCCCAAGGTGACTCATAGAGACTGATTTGTTTCCTAAGGCTGCCATGACAAAGTACCACAAAGTGGCTTAAAACAACAGAAATGTGTGTCTCATGGTTCTGGAGGCTAGAAGTCAGAATTCAAGGTGTCTGAAGCCTGTAAGAGAAAATCCTTCCTTGCCTCCTCCTAGCCTCTAGTCATTTGCTGGCAATTCTTAGCATTTCTTGGCTTGTAGCTGCTGCACTTTAATCTCTGCCTCCACTGTCACATGGCACTCTTCCCTTGTGTATCTGTGTCTTCACATGGTATTCTCCTCTTCTTATGAGAACACCTGTCATAGGTTATGGCCCACCCTAATGACCTCATCATATCTTGATTTTATCTTCAAAGACCCTATTTCCAAATACGGTCATACTCACTGGTATCAGGAGTTAGGACTTCAACACATCTTTTTGGAAGATACAATATAATGCATAACAGACACTCACCTAGAAGGTTGTTTAGGACCTGTTCTGGCAACTATTAGTACACAATAGTATACCTTGCTGCCACCTCAGAGGACAAGATTTTATGGATTCCCTACTAACATGCTTCAGCTTTTCTATTGTTATCTTTTTAAAAATTTTGTTCTGTCTACCAACTGTTCTACTTTCTCTGAATCTTATATTGAAAATCAATGAGCAAATATGATTATTCTAATGAGTTACCTACTGTTTTTTTGTGCCAAGCCCTCAATCCTAATCACCACTGAGGCCTTTGACAAGTCTATACATCGGCTGTCCAGGACACATGGAAAGCTTTTAAATATAGAATAACATTATTAAAACTTAGAAATGTATGCCTAACACTTTAAGAATGTAAGTTTTGATGGTTAAGAGCTTGCGCAAAGGTTTGAAATCTGAGCAACAGCGCTTCGAGTCCGGCCCGAGCTGAGCTGCCGCTGAGCTGCCAACAGGTTGCAGGATGGCTCAGCTAAAAAAGAAAGAAAGAAAGAAAATAAAAAATAAAAAAATGTAAGTTTTGAAATTTAAAGAATTCACGCATACACCATAAATCCACCTTGCCAGAGAGATGTATTGTGATAAATTTAACATACAATGAAGTGATTCATAACTATCTGAATGTTAATGTTGCTTAGGGAATCATAACTTTTAATTACCTGAATTTTACACATTTAAATTTGCATATATATTATTACATTAATTCAACTTTAAAGACTATATATGTACTCTATATATGTGAAACATGATAATGTGTATGTGTGTAATTATAATTGAACTCAAGGGATCCCCATAACGATTCAATAACATAGAAAAAACTCAAAGCCAAAAGCAATAAATCATTTAAATTATATGTTTAATAGCTTGTGGCTGCAGTTTTTTATACATATTCATTCATGTGTGCCTTTTTTTATTTTGCATTGATTTAAAAGCCATTTCTTCGATGTTTTATAATTTTGACCTCATGTAAATCAACTCAGTTGAAAATTTTACATATTCAAATTAATGCAAAAAGTATAAGATGTTCATTTGCATTATTGAAAAGTAATTTTTATATGTTCACCATAGGCATGCTCACTATAAGAGGTTGCATGGATTCAATGATTTAATCACCGCAACTTAAACGCTCTGTTTAAAATCATGAAAATGATAAGTTGTTATATAGACTCAATGTTTTTGAGTAGAAAGAATTTAATTCATGAGGGACTTGTAATCTACCAATTTGAAATGTTATAATCAGAGGGTGATTTATTGTATTTCTCAAAGCATGAATCAAACATCCTGATTGTCTGCTAATTTTTTGGGTTTAGTTACTAGTATATTTTTGTTTTTGTTTTGCTGCATTTGAAATACATAAGTAGATGATTTTAATAGGGGTATAAGCCTCAATCCTCATTTGGTTGAAAGCTCAATATGATACTAGAACTTGGGCAATATGTCTTTCTCAAATTCTCTGGAAATTCTGTACCCAGAAATTGCTGTGGTGCATTGAATAGCAGCAGACAGAAAATAATATTACTGCTGGGTTTTGCTTGTCTTGTTTTTGCTTGAGTCTCCATTTATACATGGCATGAGAGAGCCATCTACAGAAAGTTAAGAAAAGAACTGTCTCCTACAATAAGAACAAAAACTCTAAGAATGTCCGATAAGAGACATTGCTCTGTGGTGACATGTTGAGCATCCTACTGTCACACAGTGGAGCCTGAAATGGGCACACACAATATTAGGCAGCTCTTGGAGGGACTTAAAACTACCTTGTTATAGTGATACAGGCCAACATTCACACTCGTCTAAAGTCCAAAAAGATCTGATGTCAGGCCACAGAGAGCAGCCAGTTATCAAGAGTCTGGGACAGTAAAATCAGGAAGCAAGCCATAGATTTGGCCCAGGAAGCCCTGGGCCAGCTCAAAAGGGACTGTTTAAGACTATCTCATCTTTGAGGCAGTATCCCTCCCCAGATCATGAAGCTCCAGCTTCTGACGCAGTGCCACTTCGTTTTGGTGGAAACGTGAGTACAACTTACTCAGAATTCTGGTAATTCTCTGCAATTTCTGTTAACTGGTATCGGCAGCTTTTCCTGGCTCCCTGACACTTGTTTTGGTGAGGAGGGTCTTATAGAAGTGGTTCTGTGAGCACATTTGCTTTATCAGTTATTTTTAATCACTGTCTATCTTTCATCCCAATTGGACTTAACTCTTTGAAGAGAAGGGTTTTTGTATTTGTTTTTTGTTTGGTTTGTATTAGTTTGTTTGTATAGTTAGTTGGTTGGTTGGTTGATGATTTGTCATTGAACCCCATGGGATAACTCAGGGCTTCTAGTAGGAATTCAATAAATGTTGACTGAGTGAACCCTTGCAATGCATAACGGAGGTGACTCCCTATTATGCTAAATCTAGAGTGATCCAGAGCCTAGACAACTTGACAGGGAAGGCATGACAATGCCAAATAAATTCAAAGCTAAATACAAATAATGCTTGCTCTTTAAATACATCTTCAAGCCCCATAGTTCTCCTTCCGACCGGATTGGAGTCCGTATGACCCTTCTACATAGAAACTTGAGAAGGGCAGAAATAATCAGAATGATGCTATTCAATATAAATGCTAGTGAACACTTACTGAGGGTTATATGCTTGAGGTAACAACTGTTATTTTGTCTATTCTACATATTCATTCATTCAAAAAGTATTATTTGATACAGACTGCACATTTTTCATTGTTATTTACCTGGGTTTGATAATTGTACTATGGTTATGTGAGATGTTACCATTTGAGGATAAAGGGTTAAATAGAATGTTTTCATAACTTTTTGTAATTCTGAAAATTTTTCAAAATGAAAAGATTTTTTTAAAGTATTATTTGAGCACGCTCTGTGGGCCAGATGGTATTTTAGGCCCTAGGGACATGGCAGTGAAAAGAATGATGCCCCTGTTTGTGGAATTTGGAAACAGACACAAGAGAACTTACTCCAGACCTCACATACATAGTCATTATATTATAGTGTGCTCATAATATCATATAAGGAACATTAAGTATGCCTGTGCAGGAAAAGTAAATTGTGCAAATAGAATTTTGGAAATAACTGGTATGGATAGGGGTTATGGTTCATTTATAAATATCATGAAACAGAAATTTGGAGTAACAAAAGTAATTTTGTTAGGATCAAATATCATTTTAAGCTCTCTCCTAGCTTATAATACTGTTAACTTTTTATTTTGAAAAATTTTAGTAATGCAAAACACTTGAAATAATAGTACAATGAAATCCTTATAAATCTTCCATGTAGTTTCAACAATTTTAACATGTTGCCAAATATATACACCTTTTTTGTTGAATCATTTGAAAGTGTGTCACAGACATTTTAAACTTTATGGATCTCCTAAGAATAAGTCCATTCTCCTATATAACCATAGTTCTACAATAGTATCCCACCTAAGAAAATCAACAATTCTACAATGTAACTAAATATGTAGCTTATGTTCAAATTTTCTCCCAATTTTTCACAAAATGTCCTTAATAGCTATTTGTTTTTTCAAACTGGGATCCAATCAAGGCTCACACATTGTATTTTGTTATGTCTCTTGAATCTAATCTAGGACAGCATTTCCCCCATAAGACATTAAGCCACAAAAATTCAGGCCAGTTTTATTATAGAATGCCCCTACATCCTGAATTTGATTGTTTCTCATAATGCTGCTTAACTTGTTCCCCTCTTCCCTGGATTTCCTGTAAACTGGAAGTTAGGTTTGGAGGTTTAACATTTTGGCCTAAAATACTTCCTAAGTGATGTTGTGTGTATCTGGTTTTACCTCATCTGAAGGCACATGACATCACCTATCTCACTCTATGAGATACTAAATTTGGTCACTCAGTTAAGGCAGTATCCCCAGATTGCTCTGTTGTAAAGATACAATGTTCCCTTTGTAATAATAGGTAAACGCTGGGGTGATACTTTGGCGCTGTTCCAATATCACATTCTCCACAATTGTTTCACCCAATGGTTTTAGCATCTACTCAGGAGTTGGGGATTTCAAATGATGATTTTCTAATGTATTATCATTCCTTCTACATTTATTAGCTTTCCTTCTCCTACCACCTTCACTCCTATTCCTTCTCCCCTCTCTCTTTCTTGAGTATCACTATGGATCTGAGGATATTCTTTTATTTAATGTACTATAATTATTACAATTACTGACATCTTTGATTTCAAATTATCATAAATGTGGCTAGTGGGAGCCTCTTCAAGCTTTCCTGCTTATTTGTATTCCAACTCATCTCTCAACTCTTATTTCATATCATTTTATCTATGAAGTATTTTTTTACTGAGAGTATTAAGTGCCCTCTTCCCCATATTCTATTGTGTGCTGCTTATAACTTCATTACCATAATTAACATTTTTGCATAATAATTATGTATAGGTTTGTCTTTCCACTAATCTATAAGGATCTTGAGAGAAGAGACATATTTGTACTTGATATCCCCACTACTCAGTATAGGACCTGGTAAATGTTTATTATGACTGGTGTAATTAATCAGTTATTTCTCTTGTCCAGTTTATCGTTCTTCTTTAAGTTTGTTCTCCTTCTTTTTTTCTTTTTCCTTTTTTTTTCCATTTTCTTTTATGTTGGCTTTATTGACGTATAGTAGGCATAAAAAACTTTAAGATATTTAATAATTTTCTATATGTTTACATTGTGAAAGGATTCCCCATCTACTTAATTAACACATCCATCACCTCACATATTTATCTTTTTCTTTTTTAATGACAACATTTACATTCTGCTCTTTCAAGAAATTTTAATCGTATAATAACAGTGTTATCAACTATAGTCGCTATGTGTTATATTAGCTCTACACATATGAGTATTTATCTTATGGCTGAAAGTTTGCATCCTTTACCAGGCTCTCCCTTTTTCCCCCCAACCCAGACTTTGGCAACTGTTTTTATACTCTCTGTTTCTATGAGTTTGACTTTCTTTTTCCTTTTTGTTTTAAATTTTTTTAAGACTTAACACATAAGTGATACCATACAGTATTTGTCTTTCTCCATCCAACTTATTTCACTTAGCTTAATGCCCTCAAGGTCCATCCATGTTGTCACAAATGGCAGGATTTCCTTCTCTCTTGTGGCTGAATTATATTCCAGTGTGTGTGTGTGTGTGTGTGTGTGTGTGTGTGTGTGTGTGTGCACCACATCTTCTTTATCTACTTATCTGTTGATGGATACGTCTACCTTTTCTGGTTCCATACTTATTACAGAATCAAGGAACTCTCTTTCAAAAGGCAGAATAATCTCTTTGAGGATCTTAAACATGTGGTACTTGTCTAAAACATACAGTGATATCCTTACAGAGATTTTTCAGATCTTATCTATGTAGTCCAAACTTCAAAATCAAGTACTCCACTACTTTCTTATTGGTGCTTTCCTGACTCCCAGGTGAATCTCCAGGATAAAAAAATGAAGCTTATGACAGTGTTCTATTTTTACTTTTCTGTGACATAGCAAAGAACTTGTCTTGATAACAAAGCTTTTCACTCTGGACTATAAAAGAATCTTCAGTTCCAACCAATTACTGAGCCAACTAAAGGCATTTTTTTTTAGTGCTGCAATTGATAGTAACCAATTTTTAAAAATAAGTTAACATTCTTGTCTTACAGAAGTGAACAGCCTCACAGTTAAAATTTCTGATGAACACTGGCTGCAATGGCTTTTAAGGCTGGCACAATGCCATTGTTATCAGTGACAAAATGCTGATGTCTTCTTTTACCTCCACAAAACCACAAATGATGTTTCTCTTCCAGCAATTAATCATGGACTAGTTGGATATCACTATCAGGCTCTTTTAAAACTGAGTCAACAGAAAGTAATAGCTAATAGTAGTCTATGGAGCACTCTAAAAGTTCCAGGTTGTTTTTAAGTAGCTTATTTTATTGTAATCTTCTTCAAAATAGACCCATGTTTTCAACCCAGATCCATATAGCTAACCATAACCATAACCTATCTCTATTTGGAGTCTTCACAAGTGCCTCATATTCAGTATGTCCCAAACTCATCAATTCTCCTGGTTCAATGAATGTCAACACTATTCGCCAACTCGCCCAAGCCAGAGTCCGAGCACCATCACTCACATGGCTATTTCTTTCATGTGTCGTTGCCCAACACATTCAATCAACAAAGATTTTGCATTCTGACTTCCTAACATCTTGAATCCTACCTACCTGCTTGCCACATTGCACCTCAAAACTCATTATGTCCAACACTGAACTCGTGTCTTTTCCCCTAAAACCTGCTCCATCCTCACAGTGAACAGAAGCACATCCATCCAGTTGTCAAAGTCTAGATCCTTCATACCCTGGATGAACTGGACATGCATGTACGTTTCTTTCTTTCCAGCCCTACTCTGCTCTCTTGTTGACTCCTCGTCCTCTGTTACCTGAGCTCTTCCAATCACCTTTCCCCTGGTCTCTGGGCTCAAGTTTATTCTACATATTGCTGCAGAATAATCTTTCCATCACATGAGTCTGATATACACTCCTCATTTTAAGCGACCCTCAAAAGTAGCATAGAATTACAGTTCAAAAACAAATAAAACTAATTTGTGTAAGAGTTCAGGTTTATGGTTAGCTTTGGAGAGAAAGCTGTGGGGAATGACTGTTAGGAAGCAGGGGGAATACTGCCAGTGTGATCCTGGTGAAGGTTGCATGAGTGTGACAGATGTATGAAAATTCATTGAACTGTACAAGTAGGGTATGGGCATGTTTGTGTATATTTGTTTTTCTTCAATTAAAAAGTTGATTAAATAAAAACAATAATTGATTAGCCAGTTATCTTCATATCCGGATTGGGCAACAGCTCCAATTTTTTTATAAACCTCTTCACCACAGTGAGTTTTGTTTTTAATCACATTCAGAATCAAAAGTGTTCTGGTCCCAATAGCTAATCATCAACGATGAGTAGAAAGTCACATATTCACTCTTATTTATTATGGATAGTTGGGATCTATGGATTTGCTTCATGTCATTGTGATAATGCACCGCCTCACTGTGAAACAGTCCCCCTTCCAATGAGCAGCAGTTCATCCACTCTAGGGGACGATTCCTGTCAGCTCTCTTTTGTCACCACACTTGTTTAATGCCTATGTGAGGCCGTTTAGTGAGACAGAGAGACATTTTGGTGTCAGTAGCATCAATATGCTGATGCGGGAACATCAATATGCTGATACAGGCTCAACTCTATGCCAGCTGGTATTACTATTCAACTCTTCCAGCCTGGCTGAATTGGAGATAAAAATGAAAGCCAAATGCTTAAATATAAATGCAGACACAACAGCAGAGAAACTATAGTAAGAAAAGAGACACCCTCTGGGTCAATGGCAGAAATTATTCTGACACTTTCAATTACAGGAACTGAGAACATAAATTCTAGGTGAATATATGACCTATAATTCTCAGTAGGATTTCATAAAAATTCACACTAATGTTCCCATCAGTTTGGGAAATGTATGAATAGAAAACTCTGCTGTGTGAACACTAAAGTTATAACAATGAGAAACTTAAAGATAATTGCATAAAACACTGATGATAAAATGATATAATGCATTACATATAAAACACTTACAATTATCAATATATAATAATGCAATTATATATTTGCATCTTTAGTGTCTGCAATGTGCTAGGCAGGCACAAAGCATTTTTATACATATTTTATTTAATGTAGCTTTATATAACTTCTTGCGATGCATTACAATAAAATCAAACACAGTAAGAAGTTCACCTAAGTTCATGCCATTGCTATAGTTTTTATCTTCTCTGTTGTTTTTTGAGTATCCATGGAGTGCCCACACTGACAGTTTAATCTTCACTATTATAATCATATATGTTAAAATATTAACATAAAGCACTGAAATACCTAAATCCTGAATCCAGCTCCCCAGTAACCAACTGTCAGGAAATTTTCCAGACATGACTAATGTTCTCCAGCTAGTCATAATGTGCCCTCTGATCCATACTTACCTATTGCTCAGCCCCCTTTAAGCTGTTTCTGAGAAGTACATTCATACGCATCTCACCTATCTCACCTAGAAGGTTCAGCCCCCAGGTGTTCTAGATGCCAAATGATTCAAAATAAAAAAGGTCTAGAGCATGAAACCAAAGGGCTAGGCTAGTGGGTGGTTAAACAGTTTCGGGGGAGGAAGCAGGACATCTGAGCTAAAGGTACAGATGTGAAGAAAGAAGCCTTAAATAGAGAGAAAAAGGTATAGTAGCCAAGGATGGATAAAGCAGGGACCTTGTGAAGAAGAATAACATAATATGTACCCTCTCAGGATGTGCCCCAGGTCCCTCTTGCTTCCAGGGTATTTGCAACTGGGAGTAGCGAGTGACCTTTGAAGAGAGCAAAGAGCTCTTTCAAATAGTATTCTGGTAAATCTAGCTTAGGTTTAGAAATGCATTCACACTCAATTAAAAATGAATGGTGTAAAATTAACAATGAAAGGGGAAATAAAAAGAGGGATGAACAAAAAAAGATACTGGACCCAAAGTGGAATGGAGACAAAAATGAGAGCAAATTAAAAGGTTTCCCAGTCTGTTAACATTGTAAAACCTTCTCTCCCTTTCTCTCCATCCCTCTGTCCCCATTAAGTATCTCCATCTGAAACAAAATATACAAAAAACCCATTTCCTCCATGTTTCTTTCTTTTCCACAATCCCATTTTCCTAATTCTGGAGCTGAAATATGCACTCCAAAGGAGATGAGTAGGTAAATGGGAAGAATTCGTTAGTCTGGTCTTCCTTTAGCTAGGCAAGACTGATCAAGTTATGGTTTTTGAAATGAAACAAATTGTTATTTGATTATATTAAGATCAGTTGCTGGGTCAGGAGGATTTTTTTAAACCAAAATTACACAAATGACGCAAATTTTCTTGGCTCATGATACTTGATACAACTAATTTTAGACTAAGTGATTTTTAGCACTTGCAGCTGCAAATATAACAGATTCAAGACAACAATCAACACTAAATTTTGATATTTTGTTACTTTTGAATTATAGTATTTCTAAATAAAGGCACTTCTTAACTTACTGCCACTTGACCTTCAAGAGATTCTTCAGCCACATTCAAACACATATTAAGGTACTTATATTAGGCTAGAAGATACCTACTTACGGCAGACAGTCCATTTCCTGATGGTGCCTTTCAAATTGTCCTTTGGTTTCTAAAGTCTCATTTCTTCTCTTTTCAGGGTAATTCATTTCTTCTAAGTGAAACACTGAAAGTAGAAAGGATACATGGGTATAGCAAACAGCCAGTTGTCTACACAAAATACTTTGCTCCCTAATTCCTTGGTAACAGAATCCCAATTTTGTTGGGGAAAATGTGCCCAGCTATAAAATTACATTTCTCAGACTCTCACCAGGCAAGGGGTGGCCAGACGGCAAGAACTAGTTAATGAGAGGTTAGAGGAAATCATTTGCTAGAACTTTGGGGAAAGTTTATTAAATATGGCAGATTTAATTGGCACCCAGGTTTTGTCTTTTCTCCTCTTTTCTCTTCCTTTTGCCAGGAATATATACATGATACCTGAGGATATAGGAGCCAATCTATGATGAGAAGGCTAAAATCCATATGTTAAAAATGGCAGAAAAAAAAGACACAAAAGACTGGACACCTTTGAAATCCACAGCACCTCCAGACTGCTTACTTCATTCCATGAGAGAAAATATACAATCTCTTACTAGTTTAAACTACTCTGGGGGTTGTTGATATTGTCAACCTACCTCACCCTCTTAAATGACACACTGAGAGATAACCTGAGTGAAGCATTGACAGAGGGACAAAAACACAGTGTCTTGTCCTTACACAATTATGAAAATTATTTACATGAGTAGCTCATAAATTCACTCTGGAATTAAGTCTAAAACTTGTGTTTCAAAAATACTTTGACCAATTAGGAAAATGCAAATCAAGTTCCATCACAAGAAAAAAATAATGGGGGTTTTCTTTTTTCTTTTCCTTTTTTTTGTATCTATATGAGATGATGGGTGTTAACTTGTTGTGGTAATCATGTCATGACATTAAGTCACACAGTGCTGTATTTCAATTATATATCAATAAAACTGGTGGGAAAAAAGTAGACTATTACCAAAATCTTTGAAGCTCTCTGTGGGCCCATCTTTGATCTCATCTTCTTTTTTTCACCTAGAGATAATCAATGTACTAAACTTTGTGTGACTGTTCCCTTCCTTTCATTAGAGCATGCATGTATCCCTATAGGTTACATCATTAGTAGTATCTGTTTTGGAAACCTGTGTAATAGACTATTACTATATGTATTCTTTCATGTCTTGGTTTTTCACTGACATGTTCTTGAGATTCATTCATATTTATCTAATAGCTGTGATTCATTTATTGTCGCTGTTGTTCAGTTTTCCATTGCACAAATTAACCACATTTTGTCATTCTAGTTCAATGGATATTTGAGCTATGTCCAGTTTTTTGGTATTACAAACAATAATTGTATAAGCTTTCTTGTATAGATTTCCTGCAAAACTTTTTCTAGAGTAGAGGTTGGCATACTGTGGCCCATGGGCCAAATACGAGATGTGATCAAACAATATGATGAATGTTTAAATAAAAAAAATGATTACAGTAAAAGACACATTGCCATTAATCCCCTTCAAAATATTCCTCCTTGCTTTGAACACACTTATGCCATCATTCTTGCCATTTTCTGAAGCAGTTCTGGAAGTCCTCTTTTGTGAGTGTCTTTAGTTGCGCTGTCCTGGCTGCCTTGATATCCTGAATTATTTTGACTTTGGGCAAGAACCAGAAGTTGCAGTGTTAGATCTGGTGAATAAGGTGGATGAGGACACACCATAATGTTTTTATTTGACAGAAATTGCTGTACCAGAAGTGATGTGTGACACAGAGCATTGTCATGATGGAGGATGAAGTAGAAACACTCATGAAAGAGGACTTCCAGAATTGCTTCAGAAAGTGGCAAGAATGACAGAATAAATGTGTTTAAGTGAGGGGGAGCATCTTGAGGGGGATTAACAGCAATGTGTCTTTTACTGTAAAACATTTTTTTCTTTAAACATTCGCCATATTGTTTGATCACACCTCGTATGTATAGCTTGCCAGTTAAAAATGGTTTTTATATTTTTTTATTTAGAAAAAGCAAAAGAATGATACTATTTTATGATATATGAAAACAGAAAATTCAGTGTCCATCAATAAAGTTTTTTGGGAACATATCCACGTCCACTTGTGTATGGTTGCATCAATGATAGAATGACAGAGCTCTCATCTCAGTCATTTATACTTCCTTCAAAGCGTAGTTATACCACCTATTCTGTTAGGCTTTTCTTGAGATTGCCTCCTCCTTTACTTCCTGTTATATTTACTGTAATATGCCAGTCCTTTAGATCTCGTCACATAGAACTCATTATAATTTACTTTTTATGTACTGTACTACCTTTCCAACTAAATGAAAAAGTCACTAGGGTTTGAGGCCATGTTTCATGACACACATGTAAAGCAGCTGCTCTACAAACGCTTATTTTGATTGTTGAGAATCAAGACAGTACTTTTCCGATGCCTCCCTAGAGACTGAAAGAATTTGTGCAGCTTCACAAAATGCTAGATTTAACCTCAGGAAATAATTTTAATGAGAAAATTCACTAACGCTGTTTATTCATGTTTATTTGTTCAATAAGATTTCTTAAAAGTGTGTTTTCTTCTTCTGGACTTCAATCGAATTTTATTAACTTTTCTCTATAATAATTTATAGGTATATGTTTTTATGTCCATACTACACTATAAGCCCTTTGAAGACATTAACCATTTTATTCATCTCAGTATTTTTCCCAGTATGTGATGCAGTCAACTTCCCATAGATAATATACAATATATTTTGAATGAATTAATGAGTTTGCACATAACTATACTAATCTCTCCTAGAAGATGTAAAACGCAGAACATATGTTTCTTTGTCTTCCACCATGACTTAATCTTTGGGTTTTGTTAAAGAAATAAAACAAATAACAGAAGAAACAGTATAGTGACTTCACAACTTTTGAATGCATTATAAAATACTGACCACAGATGTAAGTATAGAAGGTTGCTGCTAAATAGCAATTTCAAGTTCTTATATCATACCAAATGATTGATTTAAAATGATATATCTCACACACTTAATTCACTATTTGAAAGTCACTGTAATAAACTACACTAAAAAAGTTTCATCAAACTTACCTGGAGTTAGACATTTGTGATGCATTTGTAATCTTTTTTAAATAAAATACAAAAACCTATATAAATCAAATTTACCAACGTGTAAGTAAACAAAACTAAACCATTACTCATTTGGTTATGATTTTAGTATAATCTTGCTTAGGAAGGAGAAATATAGCAAATTATATAAATCTGTATATTTTCTCAACTGGAATGAAGAATAGGATACTTTTGTGTATTTAGGATATTCAAATTTAAAAATAGGAATAGATTCTTATTAACAGCAAGGGAAACCAGGAAGACGTACAGAGTGATATTTTTAAAAAGCCATTTCAGCTGTGAGACTTAGGTGGAGAAAATTAAAGTTTTATTATATTTGGCAGTACCTTTATCCTCAGAGAGCACCACTAAAAATATAGTCCATGCTGTACCTAAAAAAAAAATTCAGGATGATTTATTCTATTAAACACAATATTATTATAAGGCACTCATTAATCACTTTTTCCACATACAATGAAAACTGCTATCATCATCAATTTTCATTCATATTACCCCAAAATGAATAACTTTGAATAAAATTTTGCTAAAAAATATTAAAGTGCAATTGTGTCCCTGAACTGCATTCACTTCATAACTAATCTGTGTTAAAGGGTTATTGATAATGGATGTTAGAATGCTTTGCTGCTCCACTAACTTGAGTGACTTTTGCTGAGTTACTCAAAATCGGTGATTTAATTTGTCTATCTGTCCATAGAAATGACATATAGAAAAGACCTTATTGTTGGTTCAAAACCTCAGCAGTTCCCCTGGTGAAATTTGAAACTGGACTTGTCCACAGAGGACAAGGAGGGACGAATGGCAGAGGCAGGCCACTCCAGATTGGTACATGGCAGGTTTAATGAGCAAGGGAACTTATATGCAAGGCTTATCTTGGGCAGCTGTCAAATAGATCTTTGCACTTGCTGCCAGAATCCTAAAAGTTTGGAAGCTTTAACAGGATTCAGTCACACGTACAGTCCAGGCGGTCTCAATAACATTACTCTCTCAAGGCTGCTTCCTTGAAGTGGCTCCAAGTGTGGGAAAACTGGATGGAATGCACATTCCAAAGACAGGAGATGGGGGAAGGAGTCTCTGATTGCCCAGGACCAGCTCTTGAGTAAACCAGTAGTCACATCCTCTCAGTAACCTCCCTTAACACTTAAATATCATCCAGTCCTTCTCTTTCTTTTGTTCTACCAATAAGGCTACAAGCCCAGGGATGAACCAGTCTTAGGAATATTTCAAACCCACTCAATTTCTAGTAAATACTATGTAAGCTACAATGCATAATAATTATGTAAATAAGTGAAACTGGATTAAATTAATTTCATTCTCTTTAAAAGAGAAATGTAGCATTCCTCATTATTCTGAACTCAAATACCCTGGAATGTGTATGAACATATATTTTAGTAGTATCCTGTAATAGTGCATGTTTCGTAACTTCTTATAGGCAAATCATTTCTTAAATAATTTGCAACCCATCAGATAAATGCTAACATTTAAGACATTCACTGTCAATATTTTATTTCCTTCATTCTACAATTTCAGTCAAAAATTCAATCCAAAAATAAGTGGAAATGAGGAATTAAAGCAAATACTTGTGAAAAATTCATAATACATTTTTCTGTTATGCTCTATGGATAGAAATAAAGCTCCTTACCCATCTGCCTTAGCTTTCTGTCTACTTATCCATAAAACAAGGCCTCTTCAATATTTATTGAGCCCCAGTAACATGTACTGTGCTAGGCTCTGCAAGGGATGCTAACAATGAATAAGGCATGAGCCCTCTGGGAATATACCACCTCTAGTAGGAGAAATAAATAAGTACTGTACTCAAATTCTAAAGTGAGAATTAAAAGTGTATATGACAGTTAAAAATAAAGACCTTATGAGAATTTAAAGGAGGGATTGATCATACCAAGTGGGGGAAGCCGGAAAATGAAGGTTAAACTTAAGAAGGGAGACCTGACTAGAATTTCCAGAGCAAGGTCTTCTAAGGAATTATTTCTAAGTAAATGACAGAAAATGAAAACGTGAAGTGCTAATGTTTTGGCAACTTGAAGAGATCCAGATTTCCTATAGGGCAAGGGAGTGATGAGAGGGGTAAAAAAAATGGATCAGTGCATCCCCTAAACTATTTTCCCCAGCTGCTGCTTCTTTTTACCATATATTTTAATATTTATAATAAAGTTACTTTCTTCTGAAGAGGAAAAGAATCATTCCTGAATAGGAGCCAAAATCTTGAGGCTTCACTTCTGCCCAGTTAAATAAAACTAAATATTTTGCTTGATGAATCATACCTAGTGGAAAACCAGTTAACTTGGTTGCAAGGTTTTGTCTTTGAACCTGATGTAGTAAACGCATGAGCTTTGAGGTCAGCCAGTCCTTGGTTGAAATCCAGACCTAATCACAGTCTGTGTGATTTTGGCTGATAGTGACACAAGCAACGATCGGTTTCCTATGCATTTCACCTGTTATCCTCTAAACCAGCTCTTCGCGCTCTTCTCAAACTTTAATGCGCACAAATATCACCTAGGGGTTCATGCTCAACTGGGGATTCAGATTCTGTCGGTCCGGGGTGGGGCCTGAGATTCTGCAATTGTAATGAGCTCACTGAAGCTGCTGCTGCTGGTAGTGGACCACTTTTGAGTACAAAAGGCTAGAAGCGTGGACCCCAGCCATCAGTATCAGCATCACCTAGGAACTTGTTAGCGGTGAAATCCAAATTCTCCGACACCACACCAAACCTACTGAATCAGAAACAAACATTGGGATGAGGCCCAGCATCCTGTTTCAACAAGCCCTCCAGGTGATGTCACTGGTTTTCCGATATAACTGCAACCCTCAAATCACGGGAGAGGGGGTGTGAAGTATTAAATACTAATGATGCCCAAATCTCACCCCTAGCTATTCCCCCTTTAAGGTGCGTGGTGTAGTTTGGGCACCCAGATTTCTAAAAGCTCTACCAGGTGACTCTAATTTGCAATAAAATTTGAGACCCCGTGAGGTAGGTGCTTGAACTTTGACAGGCCTTATTTTCCGCCGTGTAAATGTGTATAAAACCAATACAGGTTCCTGCCTTCGCTTCCAGACTTTGGCACCTCCAGCCAGCCTCAGTCGGCCGCAATCCTAGTTCGGTCTCGGGAAGCCTGCCTCCCCGCTCCGTGTCCCACAGCCTCCGTCTGAGAACCGGTCGCGGATCCGCCTGAGCATCAGCCACGTCGCACTCCATTCCGGCACCGCCCGCACCTATGTGGCTCACATCCCGAGGGCGTCAGCCTGCGGAGATCCCGGGACCGAGCTGGAGCTGGACGCGCATGCGCCCGGCACGCGCCGGCCCGGGCCGGAGTAACGGACTTGAGCTCCCCCCACCGGAAGTGGGCGGCGGCGCGTCGGGAGGAGCCGGCTGTAGCGTGGCGGCTCCTGGCTTTGGTCTACCCGGCCCATCGGCTCGCGCTTCCCTCTCTGCGCTATGGCCAAGGCCGCCAATGTAGTGAGGGTGCTTCTGGGCGCCACGGTGCTTTGGATCGCGCTGCCCTGCTGCCGGACGGCCTCCGCGTCCAAGGCAGTGACGGCCCACTTGGCCGCGAAGTGGCCCGGGACCCCGCTGCTGCTGGAGGCCAGGTGGGTGCGAGCCGGACCCTCTGCCGATCCCATCCCGGAGGGGCTTGGGGCGCGCTGGGACCCTGACGGCCCCTCCGATGCCGTCCTTGCACCGCTGCTCCAAGTGCCCTCGTGCTTGGCCCTCGGAGCATCACCCACTCCCTGCCACCCCGTGCGCAGCACGCCCATGCAATTCCCTTTCCTCCCGCAGTTCTACTTTGCCTCGCCTGCGCTTTTTTAAAACTTCGGGGCCTTTGTTTAATTCATTTGGATTTTATTTGTGTTTATTAAAGAAAAAAGGAAGAAGAATGGGTGGTGGCGTGTGGCGTTTAATGCAAGCATTTAAATTAATGTGAGCACTTCTCTTTAGGAAACCGCACTTGAAGCACCTAGGCTTCCTGTGGACAAGACAGCCTCCCACGTTATTCTTTCCGAATTTCCTCCACTGGAATTAGTTTAGAAGACATCATTTACTTTGCAGAAACAAAACTTGTAGATATTAAAATTGCCCTTAGTATGCCAGTAAACAGCATTTGAAAGTTCTTTTTTTTTGTAGCCAGCATGAAGTTTTAATGCCAGTTGCGTTGGTCATTTCACCAAGGCAGCCCTAAAAGAAGACTCCAGCACCCCACATTACATTGCGTTATATAAGATGCTAAAAAAGAATTTTAAAAGTTCGTCTTAATTGAGATATAATTGACCTATAACATTATATTAGTTTCAGGTGTACAACATATTTGCATACCTATATTGTGATCACCACAGTAAGCCTAGTTAACAACTGTCACCACACATAGTTACAAAAAATGTTTTTCTTGTGATGAGAACGTTTTAAGATTTACTCTTAGCAACTTTGAAATATGTAATGCAGTATTAACTATAGTCAACAGGCTGTACATTACATCCCCATAAATTAATTTATAACTGAAAGTTTGTACCTTTACCCACTTTCACCCATTTCATTAACACCCTCCCCCTATCTCTCTGCTATTTTTTTCTTTTTAGATTTCACATAGAGGTGAGATCATACAGTATTTGTCTTTCTCTGACTTACTTCACTTACTGTAATACCCTAAAGGTCCAGCATAACGCCCTAAAGGACCATCCATTGTTGTAGAACCATCCATGTTGTCCCGAGTAGCAGGATTTCCGTCTTTTTTTATTGCTGAATAATTTTGCATTGTATATATATGCCACAATTTATTTTTTTTTAAACTTTATTGGGGAACAGTGTGTTTTTTCCAGGACCCTTCAGCTCCAAGTCACGACGTTGTTCTCAGTCTAGTTGTGGAAGGTGCAGCTCAGCTCCAGGTCCAGTCGCCATTTTCATTCTAGTTGGGGGGGCGGGGGGGGGCACAGCCCAGCATCCCATGCAGGAATCAAACTGGCAACCGTGTTATTAAGAGCATGTGCTCTAACCAGCTGAGCCTTCCAGCCGCCCACTGGCAGCTCAGCTGCAGTTCAGCTCAAGTCGTTGTCTTCAGTTTAGTTGCGGAGGGCACAGCTCACTGGCCCATGTGGGAATCAAACCAGTAACCTTGTTGTTAAGAGCATGCACTCTAACCAACTGAGCCACCCGGGGGACCCTATGCCACAATTTCTTAACGAATTCATCCATCTGTGGACAGTTGACTATTGTAAATAATGCTGCATTGAACATAGGGGTACATATGTCTTTCTGAGTTAGTGGGGGGTTTTTTTTGTTTCCTTTGGCTAAATACCCAGAAGTAGAAATGCCTAATCTCGTGGTAGTTCTATTTTTAATTTTTTGAGGAACCTCCATAACTCTTTTCCATAGTGACTGTGCTAATTTACATTCATACCCACCTTGTACAAGGGTTCCCTTTTCTCCACATCCTTGCCAACATTTGCCTTTTTTTTCTTTTTTTTTTTCTTTTAGCTGAGCCATTCTGCCATCTGTTAGCAGCTCAGCTTGGGCCAGGAATCAAACCGGCGACCCTGTTGCTCAGAGCTCTCACTCTTGAGTGAGCTCTTAACCAACTGAGCCGCTCGGCCAGCCCCCAACATTTGCTTTTTTGATGATAGCCTGTGTAACATTGTGGTTTTGATTTGCATTTCCCTGATGATTAGTGATGTTGAGCTCCTTTTCATGAACCTTAAGGCCATCTGTATGTCTTCTTTGGAAAAATGTATATCAGATCCTCTGCCTGTTTTTCAATTGGATTTTTTTTTTTTTTAGCTGTTGAATTGTATGTATTCTTTATATTGGGTCATCGGGAAAGTCATGACGCATTTTTGCATTGAAAAACATAGAAAAATACGTCATGACTTTCCCGACGACCCAGTAGTTCAAAATTAGGAAGCATAATACCTCTAGCTTTTTTCTTCTTTCCCAAGATTGCTTTGGCTATTTGAAGTCTTTTGTGACTCCATACAAATTTTAGAATTGTTTGTTCTATTCCTGTGAAAAGTGCCATGGAATTTTGAGAGATTGAATTGAATCTGTAGGTTGCACTGTGTTATGTAGACACTTTAGCCATATTAGTTCTTCCAATCCATGAGCATGGAATATCTTTCCATTTATTTGTGTTGTCTTCAGTTTTTTCATCAATATCTTATAGTTTTTAGTGCACAGGTCTTTCAGTTCCTTGGTTAAATTTATTCCTAGGTACTTTATTCTTTTTAATGCAATTGTGAGTTTTTTTATTCTCAGTTTCTCTTTCTGGTGATTTGTTATTAGTGTATAGAAACACCACAGATTTTTGTATATTGATTTTGTATTCTGCAACTTTACTGAATTGGTTTATTAGTTTTAACAGTTTTTTGGTGGCGTCATTAGGATTTTCTATATGTAATATCATATTACCTGCGAATACTAACAGTTTTACTTCTTCCTATCTAATTTGGATGCCATTTATGTATGTATGTATATATGTATGTATGTATGTCTAATGGCTCTGGCTAGGACTTCCGATACTATGTTGAGTAAAAGTGGCAAGAGTGGGTATATTTGTCTGTGTCCTGATCTTAGAGGAAAAGCTTTCAGTTTTTCATCGTTGAGTATGATCTTAGCTATAAGCTTGTCATATATGGCCTTTGCTATGTTGAGGTATGTTCCCTCCTGTACCCACTTTGTTGTGAATTTTTATCACAAGTAGATGTTGAATTTTGTCAACTGCTTTTTATGTTTCTATTGAGTTGATCATATAGCTTTTATCCTTCATTTTCTTAATGTGTGTTGTATTGATTGATATGTGGATGTTGAACAACAAATCCTTGCATCCCTGTAATTTTTTTCACTTAATCCTGGTGTATGATCCTTTTAATGTGTTGTTGAATTCAATTTACTAATATTTTGCTGAGGATTTTTGCATCTATTTTATCAGGGATATTAGCCTGTAATTTTCTTGTGGTGTCCTTCTCTGGCTTTGGTATCAGGGTAATGAGCGTTCCTTTCTCTTCTGTTTTTTGGGAGGGTTTGAAAAGGATTAGTATTTTTCTTTAAATATGTGGTAGAATTCACCAGTGAAGCTGTCTGGTCCCTGACTTTTGTCTGTTGGGAGGTTTTTGTTTACTGATTCAGCCTCCTAACTAGTTATCAGTCTGTACAGGTTTTCCTTTTCTTCCTAACTCAGTCTTGGTAGGTTGTATGTTTTTAGCAATTTATCCATTTCTTCTAGGTTGTTCAATTTGTTGGCATATAATTGTTCATAGTAATATCTTATGATGCTTTGCATTTTTGTGGTATCAGTTGTAATAAAAGTTTGTATTGAATAAATTTTTCTAGCTTAAAATAGTCCCCCCTTTTTTTTTTTATCTTTTCCCCAGTTTCCTCCAGAGCTTGCACAGACCTGATCCCATATTCAGTCTAATTTCTTCCACTCTTGGACTGGCAGTGTCAGTGTCCCAATTCACTCTTGCCCCAAGAGTCTTAGAGCTGGGACTCCTCTAACATGCTCCTCAAGGTGTTTCACAATGTAGCCTTAGTCTGATGTACTAACCTTATCACTTGTACTGGTTGAATTGCAGTTCCAAAAAAGATATGTCCTCATCCTAAACCGTGGAACCTGTAGTTTTTCCATATTTGGAAAAAGAATCTTTGCAAATGTGATTAAGTTAAGGATCTTGAGACAAGATCACCATGGGTTATATAAATGGGTGCTAAATCTGATGTTCTCACAAGAGATGGAAGAGGAAAAGACACAGACGAGGAGAAGGCCATGTGAACAGAGACTGAGACTGAGTTGGTGCAGCCACAGTCAAGGAATACCGAATTCCAGCTTCCAGAAGCTGAAACAGGCGAGGAAAGATTCTCCCCTAGAGCCTTTGGACAGAGCATAGCCCTATCAATACCTTGGTTTTGGACTTCTGGCCTCCAGAACTGTGAGACAATACGCTTCTGTTGTCACCGAGTTTGTGGTAATTTCTTACAGCAGCTCTAGGAAACTAATACAGATTGGTGCCTTGAAATGGAGTGCTGCTATATCAGATACCTAAAAATGTAGATGTAGCTGTTGAATCAGGCAGAAACTGGAAGAATTTTGAGAAAAGTGTTAGAAAAAGCCTAGATTGCCTTGAGGAGACTGTTGGCAGAAACATGAACTTTAAAGGTAGCTCTGGTAAGGACTTAGAAGAAAGCGAGGAATGTAGTAGAAAAAGCTTCTGTCATGTTAGAACATTAAAGGAACTCTGACAAGTGCTCAGAAAGAAATGAGAGACATGTTATTGGAAATGAAGAAAGATAACCTTTGATACATAGTGGCAGAAAACTGGCTGACGTGGTCTCAACCCTTGTTTGGAAAACAGAGCTTGTAAGCGATAAACTTGGGTAGTTAGCTGAGGAGATTTCCAAACCAAGTACTAAAGCTGTCATCTGGTTTCTCCTTGCTGCTTATAGTAAAATACAAGAGGAAAGAAAAATTGAAGGAGAAACTGTTAAGGAAAAAATAAGCAGTACTTGATAATTTGGGAGATTGTAAAGAATGCTAAAATTAAACTCAGTGTTGAAAATGCATGCTCTGGAAAGAAGGCCAAATGTGTGGCTGGACAGCTTTTTGCTGTATAAGTTAAGCATGTGACTCATGGACCCACTCAACCATATCAGCAAAAGCCAGGAATAGAGATGGGCTTACCTAGGAATGATATGGGGAGAATCTTTATGTAATGGCACGATCCAGATGAGATACATGAGAGACCCACAAGGATTTTGACTATGTTGTATCAGCAGAAACACTGTCAGCTTGGATCAAAAGGGACACAGGATAAAATTAGAGAAGGCTGTCAGACTTTCAAAATTCTCTAGGCAGGAAGTTTAGCTAATAGATCGATCTACTTAGCTGCAAACTGTGAGGACCCAGGCCCAGACCCTAAGACAGGCAAGCTATACCTTAGGCTAGACAGGCTTATTTTAGAAATACCTCCGCCCTAAGGAATAAGAAAAAGTCATACTTTAGCTAAGCATAGAAGAATATCCTGTTCAGATACCAGGATGCGGTTATAACTGACAGTAAAGCTCATTTTTGCAAGAATTAGGTTACAACAATAGATTATTTTGCAGATAACCCATTTTCACACCTGGATTAGGACGTTTTGCAAGAACTAACTGCTTTTTTTACTTCTGTACACCTGCTTCTGCTCAAACTCCGGGAAATCAAGCCCCTATAAAACTTCCGCCCACCAAGACCTCAGGGCCATTCTCCTCTTGCAGAGTGAGGCAGTTGCCAGGCTTGGCTGTATAAAGCTTTTGGAACGAAAAACTCTGTCTCTCAGGTCTTTACTAAAGAGCGAGGACCTAACAAAACACGTGCTACCCTTCAGAAAAAAAGGAAGAATGACACTGAGGGCAGAGCCATAGCAGGCAGCACAGGGTGGTGCAACAAGCCACAGGGAGTTATGCTCGGGGCTTGAAACCTGATGGAATTTGTTCTGCCGGATTTCAGATTTGTTTTTGACTGGTAACTGCTTTATTCTCTCTAATTTACTCCTTTTGGAACCTGGAATGCCTGTCTCACCGTTGCATTTTGGAAGGAGATAAATTGTTTCTAGTTTCACAGGTTCATATATGGAGAAGAATTCTGCCCCCGGAAGGATCATACCCAAGGCCTCGCTCATACCCGGTTTAGATTTGAGATTTCTGATGATATTTACATTAGCTTTGGTCTAAGAGATGATGTTATAATAGGTTGAGATTACCTTAGGAGATATTGGGATGTTGTGAATGTATTTTGTATGTGGGACAAATGTGGATTTGGGGGACCCAGAAGGTAGACTGTAGTGGCTTGAATGGTGGCCCCCCCAAAAAATAAACCCACATCCTAACCTGCGTTAACCCTGACAGCACCTGGAATCCAGACTTTTGGCCTTCCAAACAGAGAGAATACATTTGTTTTAAAGCACTAAGTTTGTGATAATTTGCTATGGTAGTCTTAGGAAAGTAATATTGACACTCTACTATAGTCCTTTACTCATTGATACCTTATTTATGGACATATCATATTACGCTCTTTTTGCCTGGTCCTTTGTCCTGACAAAAGCTAATGTCTTTCCATTATGTTCTTATAACATTTGTTCAATACTTCTATAATAATCCTTATTGCAATGTATCATATATGCTAATCTCTGCTGCTAAAATAAGAGGACAAAAGTATTTCTTATTTGAGTTTATTTTGCCAAAGCACAGGGCATAAAAGTAGGTGCTCAATAAATATAGCAAGTACTCAAATAACATAGTTTTGTTATAACATCGATGAAAAAAAAAAAGATTCTTCACTGGGACCACTGTCTGTGTGGAGTTTGCATGTTCCCCCATGTCTGCATGGGTTTTCTTTGGGAACTCTGGCACAGTCCAAAGATGTGTATAGGTAAATTGGCATGTCTAAATTGTCCTAGTCTGAGTGACTCTGTGTGTGTGTGTGTGTGTGTGTGTGTGTGTGTATGCGCGCACACGCGCATGCGCACACACACATGCGAGCCCCACAGTGAAAGGGTGTCCTGTCCAGGGTGGGTTCCACTTAACACCCTGAGCTGCGGGGAGAAGCTCTGATCACCTGCAACCCTGAACTGGAATAAGCTGGTTGGAAAATAATTATCTTAATTATCTTACTTGTTTTATTAATCTTTCTTAAATGTTGTATAGCTCATATTTATTTCAGTGTTTAATATTAGAAGTGTTTTGAGACTTTATTTAGAAGTTTGATGATTTTTTGTGATCAGAAATATGCCGTAGAAACTTAACTCTAGTTTATATCAATTAAATTGGTTTCGTTATATGTCACCTCACTTAAAGTCGCAGTTTCCAAGAACCTATGGACAGCATTAAGGACTCACTGATGCAACAAAAATATTTCTTATTCATACTTGTTTTCCCCAAGGCTCAGAAAATAGAAGTAGGTGCTCAATGATGTTTATTCAGTAGAAGGGACCATATATAAGGTAGTGTATACTTCAAACGACCATCAGAATTACCTCTGCAGCATACCTGACCTGTGGCACCTGTTCTCTGCTTAGGTAATTCAGACAGGATGCTCAGTGTTCTGTTATGTTATGTTTTGTTATGAATAAATATAAATTGTTAGCAGGTCCTTTATTATATAAACTAAACTCTTTCCCACTATACCTTTTATCTTCTGGTCCAAACATTATCCTTCTGAGCCAAATTTATCCTTCTGAGCCAAATCACTCTTCTCTGTGACAGTGTAGCAACCTAGACCCTGTAGTTTCTTTAATCATTGCACTTTTTAATTCTGTTTTCTAGACTTCATTATTCTGCTCATCTTCAGGTATTTAATGTTTCTCTTAAATAAAAATTTTAGGAAAACCAAAGAAGTTCTAGGGAATAAGTGTGGCAGAGGAAGAATTGAAGAGTATTGGGTAAATTGAAGGAACTTGGGAGATCAAAACTTAAGCAATAGCTTTCTGTTTGGGAAACCCAGGTTTTTTTATTGAAACCATTATTCTTGGGAATTTCTCTTACTGTCAATACATATATATGTATATTATATATTTTTAATTCAGTATAAATATTTCACTGCCTGTTTTAAGCATGGCTCCATGATGGGTACTCTGTCAGAAATAAAGATGAATGAGGTATGTCTCCTGCCTAAAGAAATTTATAATTTAGTGTTATTTACTAGGGATGATTATAAGCTGATGAGGCTAAATTTTTACAACACATATACTATAATTTATACATCTAAACCGCATTTATTCCACTGGTGCTCTTAGTGAAAATATTTTTTGGAATTCCACTTATTGTCATGCTCTTTAGTACATCTAAAAACACCCTCTATGGAAATATTTTTTTTCTCTCTAGTATAATTTTTGGGAACCATTGTTATTTGTAGCTAAATGTTATGTAGGACAAGTGAACAAATTGGAAATGCCAGTTTTTTGGGGGTTTTCCCCTTTTAAAACTTTGACTAAAGGTAATTAATATCTTTTAGAAGGTGAGGAGCTGACTTAAATGGCCTCTCAAGGATATTTCCTCCTCTAAGATTAATAATGAGTTACTGGCATATTTCCCCCCGAAAGTAATTTAGGAAGAGTTCCAAAATACTGAGAGCAGTGGTATATATTGAGGGAATAAGTGCAAGTGAGTATTTCCTTAAGGTGATCATTTTGGAGGATTATATTTGTATGTATAAATTCCGGCATATGGAAGATGTCTTTTACCTATGGTTGTACAGTATATGAGTATATCCGTAGTTGTTTGGTCAAGTGAATTAGGTATTAGTATTGCTCCCTAATTTACTAGAGGTTTTGTACCACCCTGTCCTTTTCAGGGCACATCCTATTTTAGTGTTCCCATTGTTTCCTCTGCTTTTAGCTTCCTTTTTTTATTGCCATTGAGTTGGACACCATTAATAAGAGTAGTTTTGAAATTACTTATTGCTTTAAATTGCTATACTTGTCATGGTTATGTGGTGAATTAATCAGTTTTTTCCTCCTCCCCCTTTATTGATCATCTCAGAATCACAGGAATTAGTTACTCTGCATGTGTCTTTGATGTCCTCGATATTTTCCTTTTACAGTAGGCATTAGTTTAAGTTTACCAAGGCTAGAGGGAAAGATCAGGTGGCTGATAACGAAGAGTCTGTACCATCTGTTTGGTGGCCGTTTCTAGTTTAAATAGTTAAATCTGTTTGTTTCGGGTGTCTTCTGCTTGTCTTCTGTATAGCACTGAAAAACCGTTCACTTTTTTAATTATCTCCAGGAGATTTTACATGGCTTTAGCCATTTTTTCTTACCTACACTCTGTAGAAAAATGGAAGTTTCTTTGGGCTACAAGGCCTAAAACCTAATGAAATACACCAACTTCCTATTAATTTTTTTATTACGGTATTGTCTGTTTTAAATAATAAAAAGATTGTCAACACAAATAAATTGCCAAATAAAAATAATAGGTAATGTGATTTAAAGGTGTTCATAGAACCAATTTTTGTTTGTGAGAAACAGAAAGTCCTTTTATTTACCTTTTTTACTTTTTACCTTTAAAAAACACTCTCTTCATTACCTTTAAATTCTGCTTCTCAGTGGTATTTCACATGAAGAAACAAAATTATCCATTTTTTTAGTGTAGCTAATAATGAGGCAAAGCCAAAAATAATTTTTTGCGCAGTCTGTTCTGGTCATGATTATATGCTTGAAGCTAAGAATGATACCTGAGGTAAGAATCATCAGTTTATTTTCTTTCTGCATTGTAGTAAATAAAAATCAGTAATTTAACATTAATTTTTATAGGTTTTTGTTTTTACCATAAGTTATAATATAGTTCTGAAGTATATAGTATTTAAACCTTTTTCATTTTCATCTATTAATTGATTACTTTTCTTTTTTAATAGTGAATTTATGGCAGAAGAAAGTAATGAAAAATTTTGGCAGTTTTTGGACACTGTAAAAGAATTAGCAATTTATAAGCAAACAGGTATGTGATACACATATTTTAACTGGTAAGATTTGTATTTATGTGTACACATTGGATATGCTTATTGTTTTTAATGGCAAAGGTTTAATGGGATTAATAAATCTGAATACAAATTTGAAAAGGTGCCTTAATGGAAACTATTTTAAGCATCTATTTCCAAAAATATAACAGCTTAATACTTTTATTCTAAGGAAACTCATATATTTAGCCATGTTTGGATATTGCATTATAATCAATGAAGAATGAGAAATTGTTGAAATATGGTTTTCTTTTTACCTAGATTTCTTTGAAATAGTATTAATGTTGCATCTAGTAATATTGATTTTATTTTTTTGCCAAAATACTCTTAAAAGGATTTTTAATACTTTCCCTCAAAAGTGAGGTAACCTATGTGCTTTCATTTCACTATCTAAAAAATGGAGTTATTCATTCCTATTTTAAATATATATGAGAGTGTATATCTATAGCTATATCTGTATCTATCTATATATCTATATATCTATATATCTATATCTATATCTATATATCTATATATCTAAATATATATATATATAGATATATATATTTAGAATGAACAAGTGTTTATTAATGTGTTTCTTGTGAAGGCCAGTAGATTAAAGATACTGAAATAGGTTTTAGCAGCAGAGGCTAAAAGTTACTTACTAATTATTATAAAGAATGGTTATTTTCCTGTCTCTACAGAGAATAGAATAAATGATAGCAACATGTAATCCCTCAAGAGGGAATTCTTTAGCCTTGTAAACAGAGAAAACATATAACTACAATGATTATGTAATTTCTGAGTGTAAATGTAAGATAAACAACAGTTTTGAATGTTTTAAGTGTTTATTTACTGGAGGTTGTTTGGCTCATCCAGCCTCGAAGTTCAGCAATTTTATGATTTCATGAGACAGTTTCAAAAAATAGAGCAGACGTGCCTTTAACGATATATTTAAACTGAAATATTTCCAAAACAAGTAACTTGCTCTTTCAGAAAACTTTTACTGAAAAGTTCATTATTTAATAATCATTTGAGGCATGAGAGAAGTTTTAGATACTGAGAATATAAAGATGAATAAATGTGACTTATGTCATTTGGACCTCCATAATGCAATGCAGGAGATAACAAAACAGCTAAGAATACTATTAGGTGGTAAGAGCTTTAGTAGGAATACACATAACATGGTAGCACATAAACAAAGGTACCCAGTTTTTCAGAGAAACCAGGACAGCCTTTCCAGCTGGAGCTGAGTTTGAATGACAGGATTTAGACAGGTGATAGAGAAGGGAGAAGAGGAGACAGGAGTGGCATGCACAGAGGAACTTTCACCACTTAGAAGTCTACTTTCACATCCTTGGGAAATTATTGGCTTTGTATTTGTCCTTGCAATTTTCATTTTGGTAACTGAGGTAAAACTAGGCTACATGAGTATGTCAAGTTTTCATGGTGATTAAAAAAAAAATCTAACCATTTTTCCTGGCCCTCACCTAAAATCCTCAGTATATCGATCCCAAACCTCTTCTCACTACCTGCTTTATGTCTTATTCAGTTCCGTTTTTTTCACTGAAGCAACAATCTTGAAAATTACTTCTGTAAATTTTGAACTCTTATTTTAAGTTGCTTAGATGCATCAGCATGTTTTATAGCTACATGAAACGACATGCCTGGACAATCTGGTGGAAGATCATTAAAAAGTTGGAATATAAGCTCAGGAATACCTAAGTTCTACTTTAAGCTTATATTGTAGCAGGTGTGTGTATTTCAGGATTGAACCTAAAATTAACTGTATTATATAAGAATTACCAACACTGACAATATAATTCTGTTGCATTTATTTATAATGGTGAGAGTCAAATGCAGATGTTGCGTCATTGTTGAACTTGTTAGATGTGGGAAAGAATGGTATATATGAGGGATGAAATATATTGACAACTATCAGATTTTACCAGATTTGTTTTCAAGATGTTACCCTAGAGGAAACATTTCAAATCCTCGGTTACTTGTAATTTTTAGGTTGTTGAACCTCCACGAGACTCTCTAAATACTCTTCACTGAAGAATAATTCTGGCAATCTACTTGCTTAAACAAATTGCAAATATTGAACACTTTAACAGTTTGAATTTAGGTGCTAATTTTATGCCATTGAGTGAGAACAATTTACATTATGTGCCAGCATATTAAGATTTTTTCATCATTGAATTCCTGTTTTTTAAACATTTTATGTAGTTCTGCCACAGAGTTATGTATTTATTTATGCCTCAAGCTTCAAGTGGCATGATTTACCCAAGCTGTGTAGTTTTGTGTGGTGAGTTGGAAATGTCAACTGAGGTTTATCTGCCTCCAAAGTCCCTATTTATTTTTACTTCTCCATGTGCTCAGCGTGTAAGAGTCTCATTCTCAAAGTCCTTGAAGATTTTAATGGTTTCTACACAAGTAAAGTTGCTTTTATATTTTAAAGGAAAAGATTTTCAGAAAATGTTATGACATTTCTAACTCAGTTACTTGTAACTGAGAACTGAGTTTGGAGTAGGAAGATGATTGCAGTTTGGATGTATCACATTTGAAATGCTTGTGGAATATCCAAGTGAATATATTCAGTAACCTGATATATGAGTAAGAGATTTAGGCTAATCCAGCTAAAGAAATTTAGGCTAAAGGGTAGGATTTGGGAGTTGACAACATCAGAGGGTAATTGAAAAGTTATAGAATGAGGAATAAAATAGGTCCCCAGGGCACAACCCTGAATAACACCAATGTTTAAGAAATAACCAAAGGAAGAAATGGATAATTTCCTAGAAGCAAACAACCTTCCAAAACTAACTCAAACAGAAACAGAAAATCTGATTACCACCAAGGAAATTGAATCAGTAATCAACAAGCTCCCAACAAACAAAAGCCCCGTACTACAAGTGAATTTTACCAAACATTCAAGAAAGAATTATCACCTATTCTTCTCAAACTATTCCAAAAAATCCAGAAGGAGGGAAGGCTCCCAAACTCTTTCTATGAAGCC